TGTCTGGTAACACCTGCTTCTCTCTAATTTAAATCCTATTGAATTATTTATTAATAGATTTTTTCTTCCTGCCATTCAGCTAAAAATCAAGTGGCGTATTTATACAGAATCAGGGAAAAAGCTGGGTTGTATTTATAAGCCCAAAGTAGAAGATTTTTATCACAGAAGGAAAGGAATAGTGAGCACATGGGGGAAAAAACATTTTTAAAGTTTATTTGTTAAATCTCACTCCATGACTTGGTAGTGGCCACGTTCTCTCTGTTCTTTGTCTTACGACCTTCGATTCTATCCCCCAGCTCATGATTAAGTATCTTGTACATACGTCCCTAATAAGTTGCACACTTGTGTGAGTAACTTCCCCAATCCAAATTTATTTCAACACAATCTCCTACTATATATATATTTTAAAGGAGGCAATCATTTCTCATACATATTCAAAAACACTGAGTATTCTAAGACATGCTTTTATTCAAGATTCATCTTTCCAGAAAATACTATTTTCTACAGGTGATTAGAATTAAAAGAAATGGACCCTGGTGGAATTAGTGTGCGGCTTTTACCTGGGACATGATTAATCTCAGTCTCTAAAGCAGTGATGGCGAACCTTTTAGAGACTGAGTGCCCAAACTACAACCCAAAACCCACTTATGCATCGCTGAGTGCCAGGTAGGTGTGGCCCATTGGGTGGGTGTGGCCAGTAGGATGGGCGTGGCCCATTGGGTGGGCGTGGCTGTGGTGGTAACGGCAGACTGGGTGGGACTAAAAAGTTCAATCAATCAATTCCAACTTTGCAAGAGCTTTTTTTTTCCCTCAAGAAGTTGAAATTGACTGATTGAACCTTTTTTTTTTTTTTTTTGCACACAGCAGTGGAGGCCTGAAGCGAAAAGGTTTTATAAAACCCAGTTGAAGGCCTAGGACTGGGGCAACAATGCGTGTGCCCACAGAAAGGGCTCTGAGTGCCGCCTCTGGCACCCGTGCCATAGGTTCGCCACCACTGCTCTAAAGAATCGGTGGCAAATTTCTTCTCTATCCCTATAGGAAAGACCTCAGAGGAAAAGGCTCCTGTGAAAGGATGAAGGTCTCAGCTGGAAGAGGGTATCTATCTATCTATCTATCTATCTATCTATCTATCTATCTATCTATCTATCTTTAGCTAGATAGCTAGACAGCTATCTAGCAAGATAGAAGATAGAAAGATAGATAGACAGAGATAGATAGATATAGAGATAGCTAGATTCAGCATCTATCCATCCATCCATCCATCCATCCATCCATCCATCCTGTTGCTTTATTTAAACTTATATATGTAAATCAGTGATTGCATGACCTCTGTAGATGCCTACAGGCTAAATAAATAAAATCTATGCTTTGTTTTCCATTAATTTCCCCCACTCAGATGCCCTCCATTGGTTGTATGTGTTATGAGAGTTGATGTCCCAACCCATCTGGAGAGTATCTGGTCGAGAAAAGTAGTTTTAGGCTACTGGAGGAAGGGAGGACAAAGTAGCTGGGTGGTTCTGCTTCACTGCAGGTGGGCTAAGCTAGCCCCTAAATGTTCCTTGGAGGGGTTTCTTCTAGGGTTGGGACACTATGAATAGAATCAGGAGTGTTTCTTCGCTGAAAGACATTTGGAAACAGTTGGCAGTCATCCAAGCTGACTGTTTTGAAAGCTGTGTACTTCCAGTACATTTTGTATCCTGGGCAAAGGAGCTTCTTTGCTGGAAACAGGGAGGGCGTGCTGGTCTCCTAGGCATCGGATCCAGCATTTGGGGGCAGACTCGAGACTGCCAGGAGCCAAGGACAAAGCTTTTGGTTGTGGAGCTTAGCTCCTTCCTGGCTCTAATTTAAAAGGCTGTAGTATAAGGAACAGCAGCATTTCTGATTCATCAAGTTACATGAAAGGCTTGGCAACCTCACCAGCCAGACAAAGGAAGCAGAGGCAGCCTCAGATAGGGATGCTTCTGGTTTGGCGTGGCTTCAAGGGGGCCCAAAATGGCCTTGTTCTAAGCAACGCACCTGCTCATGGCTTTTAGCAGCCACTGTTGGGAATGTGAGAGTGTTCAGTCTGCTAAATTAGAATTAACTAAATCAGATGACCTGTATCTCAAAGAAAAGGGCAATCTTTTTGATCCAATGAATGCAATTTGAATTTTGAGAACATGTCAGATCAAACTGATGGCTAAATTGGGTCGAAAATCATTTCGACGAGAAGGCCAACATTTTCTTTAGTTCTTTTTTTCTTCTGAGGAGGAGGGAAGCGGGCTCTATTTCAAAACATAGCATTGGGCTAGAGCAGGGGTAGGCAACTTTGGCTCTTTTATGACTCATGGACTTCAGCTCCCAGAATTCCTCAGCCAGCCTGGCTCAGCTTGGAAACCTCTCCCTTTCCCCTCAGCATGGCTGGCTCAGGAATTCTGGGAGTTGACGTCCATGAGTCATAAAAGAACCAAGGTTGCCTACCCCTAGTCTAGAGCAACCCACTCATCATTTCTACTATTTTAGGAATGACTGAGGACCCCGTATACATTTCTGAGCATAAGACCAGGGATCTTCAAACTTAGCCCTTTTATGACTTGTGGACTTCAGCTCCCAGAATTCCTCAGCCAGTGTGCCTGGTTGAGGAATTCTGGAAGTTGAAGTCCACAAGTCATAAAAGGGCCAAGTTTGAAGACCCCTGCATTAGACTATTGAGGTCCTTCAACCCTAGACAATGCTAGTCCATCTATACTACTGTACTGTAGTGGTGAATAAACACAATCTAGACCAGTTACTTTTGCATATATTTTCCTTAGGGCAGATTTCATATTCCCGTTTCCCCCAAAATCGTTTACTGGACAAATAAAACAAAGTTGGATTTCTAACAGGGCAGCCCTTTAAAAATGGCCAAGAGAAAATGGGAATGCCCCCAAATTAAAGCAAGCAATTCAAAATAACAACCCAGGTTACAAGAAGACATTAATCTGCATAAAATGAATGTGACGATTTCTTGGTCTAAGCTAGCTGGCATGGAATAGCAACTGTATTAAACATAGAAATATATTATCTAGCTATTGGCAATATCTAGCTTGTCTTGACTAAGCCTTCACAAAAGCTAAGAAGGGTTGGGCCTGTTTAATACAAGGATAGAGGATTACCAGAAAATCCCAGAGTTATTGGTTACACTGGAGAGTTAAAAAAAGACTAGGAAGTCAAAGGACATCATTAGACCACCCCCACATTGCTACCAAAAATAATTACATGGACACTCCAGCTTAAATCAAGAAAGCCTTTTTATTTTACTTTAATATCTCATGTAATGGAGTAGACTTGATCCTACACTCTATGTAGCTATTATTTCAGAGGGCCCCAATGTTCATTAAGCCATCATTTTCTGGATTCACACAACACCAAGCCATAAACCATGTTTTAGAAACTGCAATGGAGGAAATATGCTGATACAGCTTATTACACACCTGATCTTCCAGGTTGCCAAGTTAATGCATAGGATTTTTGGCTTTCACTCTTCAAAGTATAGATTTGTTTGTTTTTTCAGCTGCAATCCTACCTGAGACCTGTTTGAAAATTTCCTAGCTTGTTTGCTTCCCCCAAATGCTTTCCCAAGAAACAGACCATCTGACTACATCTGTAGGAACAAACAAATCTAGTTCTTTCAAGGGCAAAAGCCACAAATCCCAAGCATTAATTTGGCAACCTGTGTAAAAAGCTCAATGAACATATCTCCTCCACTGTAGCTCCTAATGCATGTTTTATGACTGTATGTTCTGCGAATGCAACAAATAGTGGCTTAATGAATACTGGGACTTTCTAAAATAACATCATTCATTGATTAATCGTGGTTAGTGGTACCTATAATTCATCCAAGACAACCATGTTAAGATTGAATAAACTTTTGTTCAAATTGGAAATGGATGTTTCCTTTCCTTAAGTATCGGAGATAGAAAAAATAAAGAAGTACATGAGCAAGGAAGGAAGGAAATGTAGATTAAATTAATCTGATGCAATTTTTTTCTGTGTCCAAGATAGGTGACATTCCTAAATTATAGATTGACATGTGATAGAGTAATGTAATTACATAATTACTTTTAAAGCATCTATCTATCTATCTATCTATCTATCTATCTATCTATCTATCTATCTATCTATCCATTTACCCACCCACTACCTACCTACCAGCTTTTCCAGGCTGGTGTCCTACAAATTCACATCCTCTCCATCTAATGATCGCAACCAGAAAAATCTGCCATAGGTTATGCAGTAGTTATTACCTCCATGTTAATCTTTCATATATCAATTCTAATTAGACTACCTGAAAAAATACTGAAAAAGTACTATACAATTGGGAATCTTATAGTTATCCACTCCTCAGCAACTTACTCTTAATGCAACATATTCCATAATCCAGGAAATGCAAATTACAAAGTCAGAAGTGCCACTCTGTGTACAATTGCTCAGAAGCCAAACTCCCACTGAACTCAATAAACCTAATTCCCAAATAAGCAAGTATACACAGTTCCTCCACATATTGATTCAAGAGAAAATTCTGCTAAATTCACTGCAACTTCAAGCTTCGAGGTGCATACAGTAGTGTATACGCACACATAGGAAATTTAAATACTGCTAATCCATCCTTTTATTTATGTCATTATCAGTTCTCTTTCTATAAATATTGCCTACGTAGCTTAAAAGTCAAACTGCCTTGCTTTAAAAACATACCTGAGCAGAACCAGTATTCAAGGTGCATTCCTTCAAAGACTTCCCTAGATTTAGAGATGCACAGATCTATAATCTATTCTATAAAGAACAGTGTATTAACTCAATTTTTTAAAAAAACAGCCACTGAAATGCTCATTCCAAGGAGAGCTGTGAAGGGACAGAGTAGGTATCTGGACCATTCTGACGACTCTTCATTCAGCATCCAAAGAGACTCTTCCTTGCTTTCCACAGGAGCAATTGCTCAAATACCTTTTGCCCAAATGTTTTTAAGAAGGCTAGTTTCCTACCTGCATAGTAGATTACAAAAAGGCAAACGATATGTACGAAACCCGGAGTGCTGAGAAGTCTGGACAAAGCTTCTCTTTCTCTCTTCATTTTGGGTTTAGCTTTAGATCCTTCTCACACACAATTAGCATGTTTTGTCCACTCCAAGCACGTCCCTTAGTACGGCTTGGAGTTGTTCTGCTACCACTGAACTCTGCCAAGTCCCCTTTCAATAGACAGAGCTCTGTGTGTTGTCCTGGATTGTTGTGGAAGGGTTTGTTGGATTTTATGTTTTTACCCTTCTTTCTTTCCTTTGGGTCAGACCTAAGACTTGGTGAGCTGAGATCCTTCGTGCCAAAGGATTAGCTAATCATATTTAAAAACAACACAGGCTGTATTTCTGACTTTCAAGGGCAGCTTCACAGGAAATTCCTGATTTAAAATTGGGGAAAGACCCAGAAACTCAACATTTCTGATTACGGCTGGTGGCATATTTCCCCAGTGCACATTCTTCTAGAATAAAACCCCACAACCATTTCCAACCAAGATGAAATTACATAGTCCCATGTACGTTGAGAAGAACATATAAGGAACGGTTGCTAGAATTGGGTATGTCTAGTTTAACGAAGAGAAGGACGAGGGGGGACATGATAGCAGTATTCCAATATCTCAGGGGCTGCCATAAAGAAGAGGGAATCAAGCTATTTTCCAAAGCACCTGAAGGCAGGACAAGAAGCAACGGTGGAAACTAATCAAGGAGAGAAGCAACCTAGAACTAAGGAGAAACTTCCTGACAGTGAGAACAATTAATCAGTGGAACAGCCTGCCTCCAGAAGTAGTAAATGCTCCAACACTGGAAGTTTTTAAGAAGAGACTGGACAGCCATTTGTCTCAAATGGTATAGGGTTTCCTGCCTGAGCAGGGGGTTGGACTAGATGACCTTCAAGGTCCCTTCCAACTTTACTACTATTATTATTATATAAGTACTAGATTAAATCACATCAGAGAAGGCTACCCTATCTTATTTTCAAAAGTACTTAAAAGTGCCAACAATACAGTATGTGACAAAACAAATAATGGCTTGGATTTTGTGGCTTTAACTTCAACCCAGCATGGTCACTGATGTACAGAAACATATAACCTCTGTTTTCTAAAACACTGCCAGAAGTTGACACCATAATATAATTTTTAAGAGGGCTGAAGAGGAACATTCCTAAACACAAGTAGACAAATATCAATCGCAGTTAATCCGTTTTGCTTTAATTACATTTACATGTAAAACGAATTAAGGTATTCTGGCTTCACCCAGGTTTTTGTGGGAACTCTGGCATTCTATTCAAAGGCTGTTACTCAGTCTTCAATGTTTTGCATACACAGAGAGAAAGAGAAAGGAATAAGAAAAAGGAAAGGGGATAGACATGTTTTTCATTTGATGTCTTAAAACTGTTTATTGCATTCATCACCCAAATTCTAGCAGTAGACGTTCTCTTCTGTGGGCATCTTTTCTTTTACAGGATGCTGAGCCCATTTCCAAATGTTTTGATCTATGAGAGATTATTTGTTTGAAGAAAGGTTCCCCCCCCCATTTTTTCTAGAGGTTTCTGTAGAAACAACCACCTTATCCAACTGAAATTTGCAACGCTGCCTCCATAGAGTCAGGAACTCATAGCAAAGGAAGACAATACAGCATCCTGCTGAAAGTTGCATTCAGCTAGCTTATCAATATTTTCTGTAAAAGTATTTCTGATTGTATAATGAACTAAACCCCATTCCCAGAACTAAACCACAATGTACAAATGGGAACACTGCACGTGATGTAGCATAGACTTAGAGGATTACAATGAAGCTGTTTTCAGATTTTGTCTCCTCCAGAGAGACAATTTGGCACGGTCATCTGCTACTTTGATATATCTCATAGATATTACGATAGAAAGGGTGGAGGGAACAAGATAATACAAATGGATAGAAACAGAGGATGTAAAGACCGTAACTAAAGCTTTGGTCCAAATAGTAAGCGTGCCTGTCAACATGAACAAATGCTTTAAAATTATACCTTGATCTATGAGTTTAATCTGCTTAATTGCTGTTCTCCTGGAAATGTCCTAAAATAATTACAAGATTGCCTCTGAACAGGAGACAATGCCTTAGAAATATCATACTTTTTGGAAAGGTAGAGGTTTTTTTTCACTTTTTTTTTTAAAAAATGTTGTAGCTTATCTTTTTTTATTTATGTTTGTTTTATTTTATTATGTTTATTTTATTTATGTACCCACACACTTATCATTTAGAGTGAAAGCCTGTGATACATTCTGATCTGGCGTTGCTGATTGGTTGCAAATAAAAAGTAGGTTGCAAAACATTTGGACAGTTCCATGCTGCGTTCAAAGAAGCAAACAACTCAGCTTTAAGAGGAAATGGTTTAATCATTATAAATGGTGATAAATGCTTGCAGTACAGAACTTTAAAAGACAGACCAAGAGCACAACATGACAAGAAAAGCAATATAGGAATCTGTCAATAGATAAGTGTATGTCACATCATGAAGGAAAAGATTCCAGGAAATGGCAGTGCACCATTCATTGCACAACAGATCAACACCGGACATCCATTTTCAATTAGATACCATATGATCTTAAAAGTCCCAGGCAATGCTGGGCATATGATATCATTCAATTTAAAGCAGCGGTTCTCAACCTATGGGTCGCGACCCCATTTGGGGTCGAACGACCATTTTACGGGGGTCGCGAAACAACGTGATCCGCCATATTCCCCCTCAGGGGGCGGTGCCACGCATGCGCGATGCGGCCGTGTGACGGGGGTCGCCGTCACAAGAAGATTGAGAACCGCTGCCTTAGTCACTTTTTTATTCATAAGGTCAACACATAAAGCGTTTATTTAAGACAGGGGTCTTCAATCTTGACCCTTTTATGACTTGTAGACTTCAACTCCCAGAATTCCTCAGCAAGCATGCCTGGCTGAGGAATTCTGGGGGTTGAAGTCCACAAGTCATAGAAGGGCGAAGTTTGCAGACCCCTCATTTAAGAGCTGATCTTGCCAAGGATGTGAGTAGGATTCGAACTCAGAGCCACATAAAACAGGAGTCCGCTTGGGGGACGATATAATAAAATGTCGATTAATAAAACAATAATAAAACTCCTTTGCTGGAACCTAGCCTTCTGCATGGTTTAGTAGCCAGTTCAATGCACCGGGCAAACCCCCCAAACACGTGTGGATCAGTCACAAAGCGAGGAGACTCGTGTGAATCCGACCTCGGGTTTTAAGTTCATGAAAAAGCAAAGAAAAAGAAAGGAAAAATAAAGGCAAGTGCACCACTTTTCGTTGGCCACGAGATGGCAGCATTGATCCATGGTTGGGAAAGGAAGGCCAAAAAGACCCGCTGCCCTTTAAAAGAATAAAACTGAATTTAACTGATTAAAAGAATATGACGCACTTGTGCAAAGTGGTCTTCTATTGCAGATCTGGGGTAGGCAACCTGGGCTCTTTTATGGCTGGTGGACTTCAACTCCCAGAATTCCTGAGCCAGCCACGCTGAAGGGAAAGGGAGAGGTTTCCAAGCTGAGCCAGGCTGGCTCAGGGATTCTGGGAGTTGAGGTCTACGAGTCATAAAAGAGCCAAGTTGGAAGACCCACGGGCTTGACAATAATAGAACTGGTTGGTCTTTCTCTTCTTCTAGAGCAGGGCTGGGCAACCTTGGCTCTTTTATGACTCGTGGACGTCAACTCCCAGAATTCCTGAGCATAGCTGACTCAGGAATTCTGGGAGTTGAAGTCCACGAGTGCCTGTCGCTGGTCTTGACAATCATTGGCAGAGATAGTCCTTGATTTTTTTTGACCTTCTTGTTTAAAATAAAACGTTTCGCTGCCTGGAAAAGACGCATGATTAAGCCCGCTATCTGAATCCGTTTTTCAGAGTCTCTTTTTAAGCGAAGGCTCCCCCAGATGGGGCGAAGCCTCCAGGAGAAGGCATTACACACTGACACACAACGTCGCAACCGCCAAATCTCCCGTCACCTGCGCAGCTTCGGCCCACCTGGCCGTAACGAGGCGCCGCGCATGGCTTCCCGCCGTTTCCATGGCAACCGCTCCGCGAGCCGCGGCCGGGCCCGGATTGCGAGGTTGGGGGGGGGGGTTGAGAAACAGTGGCGCGCGCCCACTGTGTGCGCGTGTGCACGAGCGCGAGCGCGCTCCCTTCCCCGCCCAGCGCCACCCAAGGACCTCCTGGCGAATTTCTTCTCCGCGCCAGCCTCGACGGCGATTGGCTGCTGCGAAAACCCGTCGCCCGGATTGGCTGAGAGGCCTCCCTCCTCTCCGAGGGGCGGGGGCATTTAAAAAGTCGGCGGGCTCCTCCAGCTGAGTGCAAAAAGAATAGCGAGCGCGCTGCGCAGGCAGCAGACGCCGCTACCGCGTCTCTTTTTCCTGAAAAAAAGACGATGCTGCGGGGCGCCGGGGGGCAAAAATGTCTCTCTCTCCGGCGCTCCCGCGGCCCAAGTCCTCGAGCTCGAGGCCGGGCAGGGCCTTTTGAGCTTTTGAGGTAATTCTGAGACTTTTCTACGTTGTAAGATACGGGGGGGAGCGTGAATTCTTTAGCTAAATTAATAGCTTATTTATTCTCGCGGAGTAAGGGCAGCACCCGTGGTCATTTTAACCGCGGCGTGTATTCTTCGGAGTAAAAGGGCCGGTGGGGGCTGAGGTAATATCTCAACGGGGTGTTCTTTAGAAGGACGCCGATACCACGGGTGACTAAAGATAGTTACCTCGGTCTTTCCCTCGGGGAATAACGTAATTCTAGTCCAGGGGAATCAGAAAATTAGTTTTAAAGGTAAAATGGCCTCGAGAGCTGACCTGGCTCTCGGGAATAAAGTAAATTCTTGGCGTCTGGGGTAGTTTTAGCCAAGACTCGAGTTCTTAAAGTTTTGGTGGAACCTGGGGTAATTTCAGCCATGTCCCTTTAAAAGGACCAAACTCCCACAGGTGGATAAGAATTAAAATTGGTTTTAACGGTAAAATTGACTCGGGCTGACGTTGCGCTCAGGAATAAAGCAAATTCGTGGCACCTGCAGTAATTTTCGCCATGTCCCTTGAAAAAGGAGTAAATAAGAGTTAAAATTAGCTTCAAACTACCATAGGAGGATAAGAATTAAAATTCGTTTTTTTTTATAGATGGTATCTTTTTCTCTTTCCTTGTATTTCTTATTTTTATTTTATTCTCTTATATCTCTTTTCTTCTTTCTTTTTCTTTCT